CAAACAGTATCTTCTGTCTGTCTGGTTTCTCTCTCGTCTCTCTCTTTGGTCTCTCTCAGGTTCTTATCTGTGCTCTCTCTGGTCACTCTTTGGTCTCTCTCTCTGGTCTCTCTTTGGTCTCTCTCTCTGGTCTCTCTTTGGTCTCTCTCTCTCTCTCTCTGGTCTATCTTTGATCTCACAGTCCTTTTTCAAAGTGGAGTACCTCTCTCTAGGCTCTCTTTCTGGTCTAGCTCTCTCTGATCTCTCTCTCTGTGGTCTCTCTCTGGTCTCTCTCCTTTCTTTGTCTGTGATGCTGTCGAACCACACAGTCACTGAATCAACAAGCAAACTTTCAATGTTGCAGCAATAAAAGTGAAGCAGAATCTTAAGAGTTTGTGGTGATTTCTCATTTCCACAGAGAGAAAAGACACTGACACGACTCTTTAACAACCTGACTTTAACAACCTGACAAGTTTTTTTTTTCCCATTTCAGGTCATGAGACAGAATTAAACCCAGAACCTCGCCTCCTCTACAATCTGCCCTTGGGAGTTATCAATAATTTTCTATATGTAATAAAGTAGTAACATGTAAAGTAATAATAATAATAATAATAATACATCAAACTTGTATAGTGCTTTTTGGACACTCAAAGACATCAGTGGGAGCAGATGACATGGGTCGTGGTGGGATCAAACCCATGACTATTAGGTCCAACTGAGACACTGTCGCCCCAAGAGTGGCCTTCTCTGTGGTCTTAAACCCAGAGCACAGGGCCTTTTTCTGAATCATTGTAAAAGGTGAAAACAGTTCTCATTATACAGTCTGACAGCATCATTGTACAGTCTGACAGCAGCAGGATGGAAGAACCCACAGATCCGCTCCTTCACACAGTGTTTAAATGTTTAAAAGAGCAAACGAACCCAGTATGTGTTGTTTAGTGTTACTCGGGTTCCACAGAGCTCAGGGATTACTCACGGCTCATCTGACGGATCGGAGACGAGACGGTGACGGCGGCGAATGCAACAGAGACGTCAAAAACAGAGTTATTAACTGTCAGAGGTCAGAGGTCATGCTCTGCTCGCCGTCTCAAGGGAAAGTCAAACTCCAGGCCTACAGATGGAATGCACACGAACATATTATAAGTTTTGAACGGTATTCTGGCAGTTCAAGGTTCAGGATTGTTCTACTGTGTATGACAACAGTAATATTAGTCGTTTTAATACATGGGGTGATTTTGATTTTAATTGTTTAGGCAAAGGTTAGTTTATCTGTATAGCACAGTTCATCCATGAGGCAACCACATTTTTTTACAAAACAAGAACTTAACAAAACTTTACTAATTCTGATGTACAGGGTTGGACTGTAGACTGTATACAGATGGACAATGCTGACATAGACTATATATAGATCAACAATAAGAAGCCCAATAAGCAAGTTTAGCTCCAACTCTCTCTAGCTCTTATTGACTTCTGTGTAAAAGAAGTCAAAAATTCTGTGCTAATTCTTTTTGCTGATTTGACATTACTTTTGATTTAATTTAATAATACATTGGTCATGTTGTTGTTCCCTTCACACACTCATCAGAGTCATTCTAATGTGGCTGAAATGTCTTGCCTAAAGACGCAACATCAGTTGGGCCCTTTACAGCCACAGTCACTCCACTGTGTTTCCCGGTGTTCCCAGAGGTCTCCCATCACAGTACTGACCATGCATGGCTTCAGAGGATCTGGCTTTTACCTGCAGGTACACACATTACACCTTCATTACCCACTGTGTTACAACAATATTTCAGTTTGCTCATTTGTTTCGACTTAGTTTAGTTATTATTTTATGACAGAGGGCTTACACATGTCATTATTCATGTTTAGTCTGAGAGCGAGGCCTGAGTCAGCAGCAGGTGCATCACTGAATCACTCTCATCTGTGAAAGTCTGAAAATGCCACTTATTTCTATGGCCCGCAGTAAAAGTAAGTGTTTTTGTCGTTGTTCTGAGTTGTGCAAGTAATAACTTCCTTCTGCTGCAAGTCCGGGCAAGTTCAGACCTGCCCCTAAAGCCTCTAAAGTCAAGCTGCATCGGTGCCCTCCAGTGGCCACAGGTGGCAACAGCAAGTGCACAAGGGAATACAATAAAAACAGTCTATGGAAACTATACAGGCAAACCTAAACAAAAAAATAGATATAAAGAATGCAGAAGAAAGCTCCATCACATTGCTTAAAATTACTACATGACATAATACACAATTAGCAGTGTAATAAAGTGAGAGTAGTATAAGATAAGTAAGGAATTAAATTATAATCTTTAAGGCATAATCTTTTCCAACATGGAAAAGTTATGTTTTGATTGGAAAAGAAAGAAAGAAGCAGGTTTAGAAAAGCCAGTGATCCAAGATGGTGCCCTATTCAAATCAATGGCTTGTGCTCAGTAATGGACCCATGGATCTATTATAATATCTGGATAGGGTATTACAGCTTGGAGATGAAGGGCTCATGTGCTCGGGGATTCTCGCGGTACTGCAGACTAAATTAACGTGGGCTACCCTTGCATTTTCTCCATAGAAATCAATGTAAACTAACACAGGCCGACCTCAGCTGACAGAGAACCTGCAGCTTCCACAAAGTTCGGATTTTGTGGAGATTTTAGTGTCCCTTGTCAACCAAAGACGAAAAAAGGTTCAGGATGTAAGGGTCACTAAAAGCCCCACAAAATCCGACCTTTATGAAAGCTGTAGGTTCTCTGTCAGCTGAGGTCGAGCTGTTTTAGTTTACATTGACTTCTATGGGACATTTTTCTGGGTGGCCCGTGTGAATTTAGTCTGCAGTATGTGTGGGACAGCTATAAGCTAGAAAATACCTTATCCAGATATTATAGTAGAGCCATGATTAGCCTGCATGAATTTAGTCTTCAGCACCGCGACCGCCCCCTGTGCCTGTGGCTGGGGCAGCTAAAAGCTAGTAATACCCTATCTAGATGTTATTATAGATCCATGGTTTGGGATGATGCTTCTTTGAGAGACTTGCTCAAACGTCCAAACTGTTGTATGGTGCATTGAACTCTACCACCCCCCAGTGGTCTGTTTATGCACAGTGCCTTTAAGAAACTCCAGACCAAATGAAAAAAAAACACAGGGAGCAGATAGAAACATCCCATAATATCTGTGTGGCTCTAAAACATGGAGCATAGAAGAGTCTTTTGGAGATTGGACTGTTATGGCAATGATATATATATCAACCTGTTAGCTTTCTGTAGCCGACTTTGTTTAGCTGAGAGAGACCAAAGGAAAACTAGAGAAATCATAGAGAGACCAGAGAGAGAGGCCAGAAGGAGAGACCAGAGAGAGAGGCCGGAGAGAGACCAGAGAGACCAGAGAGAGATCAAAGTAAGACCAAGGCGGGACCAGAGAGAGACTAAAGAAAGACCTGGGAGAGATCAGAGAGACCAAAGCGAGACTAGAGAGAGACCAGAGAGAGACCAGAAAAAGACCAGAGAGAGACTAAAGAGAGACCAAATTGAGACCAGAAAAAGACCAGAGAGAGACCAGAAAAAGACCAGAGAGAGACAAGAGAGAGACTAAAGAGAGACCAAAGTGAGACCAGACAAAGACCAGAGATATACCAGAAAAAGACCAGAGAAAGATCAGAGCGAGACCAGAGAACTACCAGAGAGAGACCAAAGAGAGGGACCATTTCCAAAGGTACACCATACAACGTGTCAAGGCACACTAACGTTCCATGGCACACTGGTTGAAAAACACTGCTCTTTACTATAATCATGATAACAGTAGATCAAAGCAGTTCTGTTTCTCTTTAACAGACTGTATATTTATTGCATTTATCTCTTTCATACGTCCATAATTTTCTCTTGGAAAATACAAAATGGAGTCAAAGTAGGAGTAAGCCGTATATGTGTGTGTGTGTGTGTGTGTGTGTGTGTGTTTCTGCCTCGCTCCTGTGCGATGAGAGCTGATGTAAAAGTCAGATATAAAAGTTAACTTCCTGCATCAAAGTCGGAGGCTGAAACCAGACTGACCGACAGCTTTAAACCCAACGGTAAATATTAATCGATTCTTTATTATTTTGACAACAAACAAAGAAGAAAAGTTTTTCCTATTGTTTAAGTGCATACTGTCAATGCAATCAAGGCTGTATCTGTGTGTATGTCTCTATTTCTGGTCTCATTCTGGTTTCTATCTACGGTGTCTCTCTGGTCTCTGTCTAGTCTCGCTCTCTCTGGTCTCTTATTTGTCTCTATATCCGGTCTTTCTCTGGTCTCTTTCTCTGGTCTCTTACTGGTCTCTCTCTCTGGTCTCTCTTGGGTATCTATCTCTGGTCTCTCACTGGTCTCTCTCTCTGGTCTCTCTTGGGTCTCTATCTCTGGTCTCTCACTGGTCTCTCTCTCTGGTCTCTCTTGGGTCTCTATCTCTGGTCTCTCTCTGGTCTCGCTCACTGGTCTCTCACTGGTCTCTCTCTGGTCTCTCTCTCTGGTCTCTCTCACTGGTCTCTCACTGGTCTCTCTCTGGTCTCTCTCTGGTCTCTCTCACTGGTCTCTCACTGGTCTCTCACTGGTCTCTCTCTCTGGTCTCTCTTGGGTATCTATCTCTGGTCTCTCTCTGGTCTCTCTCTCTGGTCTCTCTTGGGTCTCTATCTCTGGTCTCTCTCTGGTCTCTCTCTCTGGTCTCTCCCTGGTCTCTCTCTCTGGTCTCTCTCTGTAGGACACTTGTCTGCTGTCAAAATGAATGAGGGTGAAGGAGTGAGGGAAGCTAACAGTGAAGGTGATGGAAAATCCCCTATTACCTTGTAGACTTTATGTACAGTTTGGAACGGTTTGAAGATGTCCTGAATGTTCAAAACGCAGAAAACAAAACTTTCTTGATGCTGTGCAGTTGAGTGCTGTGACCATTCTTGCATGCGAATGCTAGATCCCGTCAGACCTCAGAAGAAAGTGAGGTGCCCCAGGTTTAACGAAGATGTCTGCTCACATGGAACTCTCAGTAATGTGTTGTACCTGCCTCTCTGCAGCCTCATGTCTCCCTCAGAGGACTCCCACCTGGAGGTGGTGCTCCAGAGGGTCAGTGTGGTCCTCTACATTCTGACTGTGATTCTGGGAATCTGTGGAAATGCTGTGGTGATCTACCTCGCGGCGTTCAAAATCCAGGTCTGTGGAATTAACGTCTGTAAGTGGGAGGGACAGTGAGAAGAAACATCCATTTTCTTCCACTTTATCCATTGCGAGGTCGCAGGAGCAGTAGTCCAAGCAGCTCAATCACCTCACACACTTCCTCCAATCTTGAGGTATTCCCAGGCCAGCTGAGACACAAAAATGACTGTTAAAATCAAAAAACTTGTATTTTTATTTTTGTTTATCAAACCTCAAAGAGATAGTTCAAGTAGGATTAAAGTGCTTCTGTCACATATTGCTATATTGCAATTTCATTCAGCCGAGTTTACTTTCTCCATAGTGTACAGTAGTGAAAGCTCTTGTAACACAAAGTATTGCCTCAACTGTCAACAATCTTTAGTGAAACGCCTCACTCGGTTATCAAATAACTGGGGTTATATTAAGTAACCTTAAGTTTTGTTTTCTTCCCTAACCAATAAGTTTACAGTCTTTGGTGTAAGGCCACGTTGTTCAATGGAGATAAAAAGTGCTGTGTCACTGCTGTAGGAAATTCCACACACTCTGACGCTACACCACCTTTTTTATACTCTACACTCCGCACTTTTTATACAAGTTTATTCCTCCGAGCATGTTTAGAGCGGTCTCTGCTGCAAGCTAAGCGGCGCTGCTGCTGTTTAGAATGGGACAAACTCGAGGGGAGGGGCCGAGGGGGAGCAACAATAGAGCCATCATCTTGATAATGTGAAAAAGATTATTGTCAAAGTTACTTTTGCAATATTATCCCCTACAATAATTATCGCCCACCCCTAGATAGGCACAGAAGTCCAACAAGTGAACACTGCTCGATCACTCCTGTCCAGAGAAGAAAGATAAATGTGAAAAACCTATTCTTCAGCATTCATACCAAAATGATCTTTGGAACATGTTCCGCTGTGTCTCTCATTGAGACGCTTGACCAGAGCTAGCCTGGTCGTACCACACCATAGTACAAATTACATTTCGTACTAAGGTCTGGAGGTGCTCCAATGCCGCTAATGGAGCCCGTGGAGAGTAGCGCCACAATCTTTGCCAGAGATTACATTTGCTAAACATTCCTCTTGCTCCGGCTTCAATTTCTTGATAGAACCAGATAGGAGTACTGTCATGCGCTGGGAAGGATGAGGACTCAAAATTGCAGGAATGCCACAAAAAAATAAAAAAATAAAAAAAGAGTAATTTAATGATGTGCAGATGAAAACAAACTAAAAAAATCCAAAAACACAAGGAACCAGGAACAGGGCAGAACGGAACAGACAAAGACATGAACAACACAATGGACCAGCAACATGTGGAGAGGAGCACAGGGTACATATAGACACAGAGAGACACAGGTGAAACACATCAGGGCGGGGAAGACAATCAAGATAAGGCAAATAAGATAACTAAGAGAATAATTTAGAGACACTTGGATGCAGAGAGTTGGTTTTAATGCACCAAAGCATTTCAACGTGCTGTTTTCATCAGGACTTGATGACTTGAGACAAGCCCTGATGAAAACAGCACGTTTAAACGCATTGGTGAAATAAAACCAGAATTCTCTGCATCTGAGTGCTTCTGACCTAGAGATGCTATAGAGACGTCCTTTAACAGTTCAGGCTCAGTGTGACAGATCTTTATTCTGTTTCAGACCAAAGTCACACACGTGTTCCTGGTGAACCTGGCAGTGACAGATCTCATTTTCTGCTTCAGTCGGATCTTGTCCATTGTGTACAAGCTCCGCTCCAACGACTGGCCCTTCGGAACCTTCCTCTGCAAACTCAACGGCTTCATCAAATATACCAACATGTTCTGCTCTGTGTTCCTGCTGGCTGTGATCAGTCTGGACCGCGCCCTCTGTGTGTTGAGACCCTTTCTTATCAAAACCAAACGCACCCTCAGAGTGGTTCGAGTGGTCGCCCTGTGTGTGTGGACGCTTGCTGTCGCGCAGAGCATTCCCTTCTACATCCATCGCCATCTTCACCTGGACAAGAACAACAGAACCCTCTGCAGCGTTTCAAAAGACAAAGAGAAGGACAGAAAATTACATCTATACCTTCTTCGGTTTGTGTGCGGCTTCCTGTTGCCTTTTTTGGTCATCCTTGTATGTTACATCCTGGCTGGTGTAGGAATCAACAGAACAAAACTGTCCAGAAAGTCTCGCTCCATAAGAAGTTTAGCCGTTCTTGTCATTTTTTTCTTCTTGTGCTGGGCACCGTATCACTGCGGCCTTCTGTTAAAGCTAATGGACATACATCCACAAAGTTTGAAGCCTTGGTCTACACTCACCAGTGTCATAGGGTACTTCAACAGCTGTGTCAACCCACTTCTATATTTCTGTTTAGGGGGGGGGTCTGGGAAAAGGCCCCAAAGCAAGTCTGCTCAGAATCTACAGACGAGCCATGGCGAAAACCTCACAGACGAGATAGTGTAACAAAACAAGAAGACTGTTCCATATTTTAGCTGCATACATCTGAAACACTGCCTCCCCATGTTTAGTCTTGACTCTGGGACCAGCAGGAGGCCAGTCCCTGTGATCATCAGAGTCCCAGCAGGAGGCCAGTCCCTGTGCTCCTCAAATTCATATGGTACAGCTTTTCTCAGTTGCGTTGGTGCATTTCTCACATCACTCTTCACATTTTTAGTGAACAGTTAGCGCATTACTCTAAACAATTTGTACAAATTGCAAAACATTGTAGAAAACCTGCCAAAGTGTGTCACTTTCTCAAAATGAAAAGTTAATTCCTCAAAAGCAAGTATTGATGTCAATGAATTGTCTGTATAATCAAAATGATAAGTTCTGACACAGTCAAATGGTTGACACTTTACTCTCTCTGTTTTCAATGCATTACAGTTTTTCTCATTCGCTTTGATGCATTTCTCACATCATTCTTCACATTTGCACAACAGTTTGTGCATTTCTCAGAACAATTAGTGCAAACTGCAAAACCTCATGAATAACCTGCAAAAGTGCATCGCTTTCTCAAAATGAAAAGTTTATTCCTCAAAAGCAAATCTTCATGTCAATGAAACTGTCTGTGTCAAGTCCTGACAACATTGAGTATGAACAACACAGTCAAAAGACATAGTCATGTTTTCATTGTGACACTTCCCTCTCTCTGTGTTTTCATAGGAATGAGAAACTGCTACAATGATGTGCACCAATGACTTCATGTTGTGGAGTTTGAACTAATAATTTTGAGAACTTCAAGTCTGATGTGAGAAATGCACCAAAGTGAATGATTCAGATTCAGATTCAGATTCAGAAAACTTTATTGATCCCTTAAGGGCAATTGATTTGCTGCAACCTCCGACAGATGTTGTACAAACACATCACAACACTCACTGTGTGTCACTTCCAACAGTACAGACAATAGCAAATAATTAAAAGAAAACGACACATTTCACAAAGGTCGGTGTCACTTAATAAACACACTCCCTTCAGAATTCAACAGTTTAGTGACAGAGGGGACAAAAGAGTTGGCGAAACGATTTGTTTTCCGAGAGGGTACATAAAAACGACGTCCAGAAGGCATGAGCGAAAACTCAGAGGACAGAGCATGGAGAGGCTGACCCAAGATACATTTAGCTTTCTTTAGCGCCTGCTCCTCCCAAAGAGACTGTAGGTCTCTTTGTTTAACACCAATAATTTTAGAGCAGATTTTGATAATGTTTTGCAGTTTGTTTTTATCTTTTACAGACAAACCCTTGAACCAGCAAACAAATGAAAATGTTAATAGGCTCTCTATAAAACAGCAGTAAAAGTTGCAGAGAATCCTTTTATTTACATTAAAAGAGTTCAGCTTCCTTAGAAGATAGATTCTCTGCTGACCGCGTTTAAAAAACGGAGTCTGTATTTGCGTCAAACCGCAACTTGTTGTCCATCCAAGAACCAAGATATTTGTACTTCTCCACCACTTCCACCCCTTCACCATGGATGACACTGCTGCCCAGAGAGGGCGCTGTGGAGCGTCTAAAGTCAATAATCATGTCCTTGGTTTTTGAGACGTTTAGATCCAAGTAGTTGCTGTCGCACCATTGGACAAACTCTGTCAATGCAGGGCCGTGGTTCATTTCAGATCCTGAGAGTAAGGACACCAGGACTGTGTCGTCTGAAAACTTAACCAGGGATCTGTTCTTCTGAGTGACCCGGCAACTGTCTGTGTACAGTATGAACAGCAGAGGGGACATAACACACCCCTGAGGGGATCCTGCCCACTAAGCAAGCCGACGTTGAATCAACGTAATTTGAACGTCGTTGTCCGACGTAGAATATAGGTCACTGGTGGGTGCAGAATGAAAGTTTTCTCGACGTCGTTTCCCGACGTCACTTCAACCTCCAAATGTTACGTTGATGGCACGTCAATTCAAGGTTTGAATGTGGTACGGAACCGGTCGGGTCTGACGTCCTATCAACGTCTTATATGACCAAAATATTGACGTTTATATGACGTTCGTTTTCAGTCGTTCCCACTAAGCAAGCAAATGTCAAAACTATGTCATTTCAACGTCATCTGGACGTTCATTCAAGGTTGCAATGTGGTACAGAACCGGTCGGGTCCGACGTCCTATCAACGTCTTATATGACCAAAATATTGCCTTCATATGACGTTCGTTTTCCGTTGTTCCCACTAAGCAAGCAGATGTCAAAACTATGTCATTTCAACGTCATCTGGACGTTATCTGGACATTCAAATGACGTCGCGGCCACTTCATACAAGGTTGCAATGTGGTACAGAACCGGTCGGGTCCGACGTCCTCTCGACGTCTTATATGACCAAAATATTGACGTTTATATGACGTCCATTTACAGTCCTATTGATCTACTTAACCTCTGCAGAATCACTCACTGGTCGAGACATACTTTTTGCAATAGGCAAGGCAAGTTTATTTGTATAGCACAGTCAAAACAAAAGGAAACTCAAAGCACTGAACAAAAGATAGAAACAATCAAACAAGGCATTACAATTATAAATATTGACTGTAAATTAAAAAGAAACAAATACAATCCCTCATAAAATCTCTCAGTTGAAGCAGAAACAGAAGTGTTTTAAACTTGGATTTTAACATTGTCAAAGAAGAAGCCGGTCTCACATTTCCAGGAAGACCGTTCCAGATTTTAGCCTTGTGAATCTGAAATGCAGCTTTATCATGTTTAGTTCTGACTCTGGGCAATAAACGATAAACACAGCATTCAAAAATCATTAGAACAACTGTAGTAGAAGGATATCAGTCATTATTGCAAATGGAGCTGCATTAAAAATCATGTTTCTCTACATCAAAGTACAAGTTAAACCATACAGGGCACAGTGTTATGAACACTACTGTACTGAACAGTTCATGCCAAAGTAAAAAAACATGATTGTAGCGCCTATGTTTGGATCAGTATTAAAACAGGCACAAGCTACACTCTAGGTTCCCCAGATGTAAAAACACAATCTGAAAGGCAGAAGAATGCATTTATTGAATGTTGAGGTTCCAACATGTGTCCTCTCTTGGTCTTCAGTCTCTCATCACAAGGTCCAAGCACAGCACCTGAAAATGTGGAACATGTTTAGTTTCAACATAATGTGGCAAAGTGATATAACAACACATAACTTTCTATTAATGCCTCAAACCACTCGATCCATCACCATGTGATACAAACCTTGGCACTGCACTAGCTCGAGACACTGGAAGACACTCCGTCTGAGAAACTTGGGATAAGGCTTTGGTCATTGGAGTAATTCCATGTAAAAAACAATTGCAAATGTGCATTTGTTTTGCACATGGACACAAATGAGCCCTGAAAGCTACTTACCCTGTATTACTCTACACATGTTGCATTTCCGAGGGGGCATTTTCCCCTTGTTGCTCTTTTCCCTCATCTTGAGTGAGTTGCTGAACAATCTGAGAAAAAGATAGATGTTTTCAAAGAGAATACACCAAATAATGGTTTATTCTAAAAACAACATATTAATACAGAACAACAATCAATGTGTGAGAGTGTGATTCTTACCTTTGAACACCTTCAACACAGTCTGACACCTGTAAGACTCAAACACACATGACACATTAGGAATACACACAGAACATTAGTTATTGCAACAATCATGAAATTATACTCTATGGATTTCACAATAATTGACTGCATTAGCAAAGGTAAATGTATTTTAATTAACATATGGCTGGTTTTAAAGTTTATAAGAAAAAGTAAGAAATTGAATAGAGTTGCAAGCGCTAGTTAGCTTGCTACCAGCAGATGAATGGATATTTAATATTTGCAGCTAACAATAACAAAAATAACAACTGTAGTGGCTCATTTAAACAGCCACAGTGAGAAGAAGTGAAAGTCTCTGACATTGAAGACCTGGGAAGACATTAAATCAATTTATTAAACAAAGCAATACATGAACATTAAACTCTCTTTCTGCAGCAGGTAACATCTGTGTGCTCCTATGGTCCCACATGGTCCCACATGGTCCCACACCTGAACTCAACTCCAACTGATGACATCACAGGTGTCTAAATGATGGGAGTGTCCCAAATATTAAAGCTGATCTCCCTGTTTTTAAACTTAGTTTACTAAGTACTGTTGTCTTTTTGCAGTTTATAAACCATTGTGAAATATACAGTAACTTTACATTTTAGAATTGAATTATTATTTTAAAACTCAAGAATCTTAACCTTTTTTAACACATAGTTTGTTGGACAGTCTAACCTAAGAATTCTAATGTGTTAAAAATAGTTTGAAATATGAAAAACAATATCATATTTTAAACTTTAACTTAAAAACTAAAAAAAGGTGTCTCCCTTTCAGCTGAGCAGTGCCAGCCGTTATTATTATAGATTCATGCACTGGCAATTCAAAATACAGATAATATACAAAATATACTTAACAAAATCCACGTATACGTGAGAAAACAACTTACTTTCTGTCTCCAACTCTTTTCAATGTGGAAATGATACATCTATATCTAAAAACTGTGCAGACTGTGTACTTACTAGAGAGGATGATTCCAAGTAAATAAAGCAGGGCAGCGACAGAGGTACAGATTCAACGTCATATCAACGTCTGGGAAGGCATTGCTTTACGTCCAGATGCACACCTTACGTCGTTTAGACGTGGAAAACAGGTCCTCGACCGAGCGACTCACGTGTCAGGCTGTAACCTCGCATAAGTGTGCGTCGGTTGTTTAGGGTGTTATGTATTATTTTTTCACAGCAGTCAGAAAAATGCCTGGCCGTGGTGTAGCGGTTGCGTAATGAGACTTCAGTCGCAACGACGCGGGTTCAAATCCCCGTCGGAAAACTTTTGACTTTTCACTTTTTAGCGAACAATTTTTCTGTTTGGTTAAAAACGAATAAACACTCAACATAAGATTATGTAGTGGCTAATAATAAAACTTGTGAACCCATGCATTTGCATAAAATCTCAAGTGCTCACCCC